TTGTCCTGATCCTAAACAAACGAATTCACTGAGGAAGTGGTAACACTTGTCACATGACACAGTAAGTACTTGTTCCTAATGCAAAGGAGAAACAAACTTGTATGTCCTGGCTGGAAAGGAAAATCTAGTCAGAAGTCCCTTTCTCCTAGATTTGTATGGAGTGTATTCTCATTTTCCTGGGAGAGTGTTGTTAGAAAACATTCATTCACATTTCATTCATGGCTGGGCTTCGCGAACGAAGATTTAGGGAGGCACTATCCACGTTTGTTACAGGCACGCTGGTGACTTATGAGGCCAATACGTGACAGACATATCCGATTGCAAAAGGCACAGCAGAAAGACTCCTTAGGTGGTGTATTCAGCAGGATACGATTCTTTCTGCGTTGTCTTTTCTCCTCAAGAGTGATCCTGCGTGTGTTCTCAAAGGAAACGGCAGCGTTATAGATGGTGTGTCTCCAGGCCTCCTGGTTCGCGGCCAGAGTAGACCAGTTATGATGATCCATATGGCCGAGGCTGAGATGTTGTTTCAGGGAGTCCTTGTATCTTTTCTTCGGGGCTCCTCTCTTGCGGCAGCCAGTGGCAAGTTCACCATAAAGCAGGATCTTAGGGAGGCAGTGGTCCTTCATCCTGGAGACGTGCCCTGCCCATCGCAGCTGTGTTCTCAGCAACATGGCCTCAATGCTTGTGACTGCTGCTTGTTCTAAAACAGAAGTATTGGTCACATAATCTGACCAGTGGATGTTTAGGATTGTACAGAGACAGCGTTGATGGAAGCGTTCTAGGAGACGCAGGTGGTGGCGGTAGATGACCCATGATTCGGAACCGTGTAAGAGAGTAGACAACACTATGGCATTGTAATTTGGGAGGCCAACTTTCTAAACTGTTATGTTTTCTAACAAGCCACAGTGTTAGAAAACATAACAGTTTAGAAAGTTGGCATCCCAAATTTGATCTGTTGTGCTGGGCCTGGTATACCTGACATAGTAATGTCTGACATTCATCAGGGTTGTGTTTAACCATTCTGCACTGAAATATAACTTTAATCATATCACTATCACCTCCATCATCTCCAGCCTCTGAAGGCGGGCAGCAAGTATGTTAAAGGAACAGATGCCAATTCTAATTTGTACTTAGTACTGTTAAATAATGGAGTGGTACTAATGTAATATGACTTGTTACTTGCTTACATTTTATTCAACAGAAAACTGAAAACAAGAATGCCTGCACTAGGAACTATGTCAAAGTCATGGCAACCAGCAGTTACATATGAAAAAAGATGGGGTGGAGGGAAGGTAAAAAAGAAACATAATCTGGGGTACTGGGAGCTGTCAGCATTTTGTGAGAAACAACTGTGGAAATACCTATAATGAAAAGCAATGACTGCAAACAGCAGTAATGTCATAGCGAATATCCTGTGGTCAGAGACAAACTTGACACATCAGGTGGACATATGCAAAGGAATATGTGACACTTTCTCCAAAGGAGGAGCACCAACACAGCCATTTTACCTGAGAAATTCTGACAGCCAACAGCCACAGCAGGTTGAGATGAATTAGCTTCAGGACACGACACAACCGGAACTAACAGACTTGCTGCCAAACTGACAGCAAGAGTATTGATACTCTGGGAGATATTTCCAATTCCACGAATCAGTGCAGACTACCTCAGAGACTAATTGAACATGTGCTTGTTCATTAAGTTAGATTAAGTTAGTAACTGAACTTCCTTATTATGTTAATGTTTAATTTCAGGATGCACAGGAAAGTTGCTGAGAACCTTGTCTTTAAGAGGTTCTGGCTTGAACCAGTTGTTAAATACAAGCTACAAAGTGAATTGCTCTTGTTAAGAGCCCACACTTGGAGTCAGGCAGATTCCTATCAAAATCCATGGTGCCTGCTGGTCGCAGAACAACACAGAAATATTGAGGAGACATCTTTTTCACTCCTGTGGAAGGTGAAAGCCAGACCAGGAAAAAAATTTATACCTTCTTAATTACTTTTTTAAAAGCCAGTAATTTTCCCCTTTTCTTTTATAACATCTATTACTATATTAATAGAACAGCTTAAAGCATCCCCTTTTGAAAGATCAAAGGCAAAATATCCCTATTTTATAAAAGGGAAACTTTTGCTGGAGATACTTGCTGCCTCTCCAGCATATCCAGAGTGATTATGCCTCAAAAATGCCCATATCTGTCAACTGGCTGTAAAGGAAGCCCAGACAACTAGACCAGATTAGACATCTACAGCATTGAGGCCTAAAGTTAATGAGATGATTCATATGTGATTCTGTATGAGAAACTCACAAGATGAGAAAACAGTATTAACCATCACTAATCAAAATCTTGGTTTGCCTGACCAGATGGGCACTGGTTGTAGCTACAGAGTAGAGGCAATACTAGTGCCTTTCCCTGCACATATTCCATTCCTGGTGTGTATGCTTTTCCCATTCTTGAGCTGACATGCTTTTGGACAAGTACAACTACTCTGGGCCACATCTGCTCTGTGATTTATCTTCATACTTCCCAAAGGAGGGACAACACAACCATCATCACGTCTAATACTGTGAGTCACAGCTTTTCCACTCATGGTAGGATTTACCCATTGATCTGACAATTACTGTAAATAAGTGCTTAGCAGTTAGAAATTTTCTAGACAGCATCTCCTTTCTTCTTGATCCTGTTTGGCTCTTATTTGAAGGAATCAGTTATTATGACTGAACTCCAGCCTCCTGTCTAATCTGTAATGACTGAGCACAGGTACATCCAAAGCCTATGGGTGTGGAGCATGTAATGGACACCATGGTACTCAAACCAAGTGGAGTACCCAAAGAGAACCCAAACAGCAAGGAAGTCCAAGGGATCTGAATGGTGACAGCATGGTGAGGACAGCAGTGCGCACTCCTACTTTGTTCCTGTGCCTGTTGCACAACAGAGGCTTGGGTGGACTGTCAGCAACATGGATCACTTTAATTAGCCCCATAGGCTGGGGAAGCAAGAGGTGTTAAAGTAGATCCTCCTTTCTTCATCATCAGAGCCTTAATTTCCTTAAGTTCCTTCTAAAGAAGCCAATGTATCCACCCAAAGTCCAGCTCTACCTCAACTCAAGCAGAAATTATTTAGAATTCATCAAAAATTGTTACTTCTGGCTGCCTTCCTCACAAAAAAACTTAATTACTCCTGAAGTGTTGTCCTCCTTAATTTATAGTAAAAATATAATCTTTAGAATTTTGTTCTGTTAGATTCTTTTGTCTTACTTGTGCTAAGAACATCACCAGCATCAGACAGAGCTTCTGATTAGGGGTCATCATCAGTAAAATACATATGTGCTAGAACAGGTATTCACAGCTCTTTAAAAAGTGATCCTTGATCCATGATCCTTGCTTTTCCTCTGCTTTTATGATAACATATTTTACATTGGTGAAGGAGCAGAGAGATGTGTTTGATGTTGCTGTACACCTGGAGCCATGAGAAAATTGAGGGCAAAGTCTTGTCTCCAAATGAGTGCTGATGGCTGATAAAAACTGAAGCTGAGCATATTGGCCTCGTGTGTAAACACTGGGCAAGACATCACCAGGGACTACACTTTACTACAATGTAAATAACAATTTGTTCATCTGTGTGTCACTCTCCTGTCCTAACACTAAGATCCTTCTCCCACTTCTTCCCACCTTCTGTTATATTCTCCATTTGACGTCCCAATAGTGAGAGCAAATAGGGCAGCAATCATGAAAATAGTCTCACATATAGCACAAAAATGCCTTTTTCCAAAGAAAAAATATTTTGCCTTTGTGGAAGCATTTTTTTACTTCCAAATGAAAAGGCCCCAAGCTACTCATAGAAATCTTTGCTGAGATTTGGACCATATGGAGTGCACAAGTGATCATCAAGGGAGTATGGCTCGAATTTCTTCAAAATAAGAGTGAGTCCATAAAGGGAGACATTAGAGAAACACTATGTACTGGGTTTAGAGAGAGCTATTGCAGAGTGTGAGTTTGTCTTTTCTTTCTCTGCTGTCTCCAAACTTCACTCCCACAACAGCTTTTTAGCTGCAGCCAGAGTGTCAGGCTCCCAGTACAACACTGGGTGCTGCAGATGCTTCCTGGGATGTGAATACCCATGGCTGGTCCTCTTGGATGGCTGCCAGAGTGCTGCTGCCAACATTAGCCATAGGAAAAAAAGGTGTTTTCCTCCCAGTTTTTCCCTGTGTCAGAGCAGAATAGAATTTCATGGGACATACATCTTTACCCTCTAGGACTTTTCTCCTGCTAAATTTCAAAGACCTGTTGCAAACCATCTATGGACTGAATTCCTGCAGGCAAAAGATTTACAAGAAGCTTTCTCAATGGTAACTTGGCCAGTCCGAATCAGGAAGTCAGTACTAACTCCTTCCATTGCAGGTGGTTTTGCTCTTGAAGGATAAAAAAGCCTTTAAGTTTGGGTGTGAATAATCATGCAGTGTCAGCATAACACTTCAGAAAGGGAAAGCATAAGAGGGAAAAAGAACTGGGAAGTAACTAAGCGGTCAGGCAAAGGGTGTTTGCTCTCTTCTGTGAAGTTATAACCCATCTGAAAAAAAGAGCAGGCTGAGAAACCTAGCAGCAAAGGAAAGGAAAAAGACCCTGGATGACAAGGAGGAAGATGAAATACTTGGTAAATAATTATTTACAGAATTAGTATTGTCTTCTAAAGTTATAAAATGTGGTAAGCTTGGCTTGTCCTGAGGCTATAGGATAAGTGGTAAAGTCATAGCTGTGTCTTAGAAGTCTTCCAACTGTAAGCCTTGTCAGCTTTTGGATTGCATTACTGAACATTAATGGAAGAGTCATCTGGGAAATGCAGTAATAAAAACTAGGTATCTTAAACCTCATAAATAGGGTTTGGAAAATAAATTGGTGGCAGAATGAGGACAAAATAAAGGACAAAGTTGGGAATGAAAAATTAAACATGGGATAAAACTAAGAGGCCAGAAAAATAAGAAATGTCCTAATGGGTTCACCTAGTCCTCCTCACCTAACAGGGAAAACTGAGATCAGCAACAAGGCCTTCCTGGGTAAAGCTATTATTTGAATTCCAAGTATGCTGACTCATGTGGTTTCCCTGAATGTGGAAAAACTGACTGCATAATTTGCAGTGAAAACTGTATTCACACCTTTGAAAATGAAAACAGAGCAGTGGCAGTAGAAGAGTTTAGAAAGTGCATGAAAGCCTAACCAAAATCTTTAGCCAGTCCCCTTCTACTTCCCCAGCACCTACATTTGTTGTACAGGGATGCTCCATGGCACACCCCTGTCTATTCCTTCCAGTATTTGTTTATAACAGATGTGTCATCCCTGAAATGCTTTAATTCCTTTTTAAACCTTTTTATGTCCACAGCCTCCTGTGGTAGCAAGTTCTCAAAAAGTTCACTACCCAGTGTGTGTGTATAATTTATTTTTTTTAAAGTACACTCATGTATCTGTTTTTAACTACCTTCCCATTTGTTTTACTGAGCATCCTTTAGTTTCAGTATTGCAGGATTTGGTGAACAATTCTGCCACCACCTTACCTATCACTTTCATGATTTTGTAAACCTCAACCATAACCTACACCTGCAAATTGGCAACTCCCAGCCTTCTGCACACTCCTGTCAAGGCAGAGGGCTCATCCCTGGTTTCTTTTTGTTGCCCTTCTCTCTCTTTTCCTTTGCAAACTCCCGTGCCGTCCTTCTGGAGATGGGGAGGCCTGAAACATTCCAGCCCTCCACCTGATGCACCAGAGCTTTATATGAAGGCAAAATGACACCTTCTGCCTTGTTTTCAAGCCTGTCCAGACATGCCCAATATTGTATTGGCTTTTTTTGACCGTCACTGCACCCTGCAGCAGTGGTTTCGGAAAACTGCCTGAGTGAGTCTGAGGGATCTTTCCAGAGCTGCAACTGCCAGTTCCAAGTTCAGCAGTAGGCAAGGATGGTGTAGATGAGGATTTCCTCCAGATGCAGCATTCCTTGCTACTTATCTACATCAAAGCTCCTCTGAGCACTTACTCAGCTTTGTGGGGCCCTTCTGGAGTTTATAAATACTAGGGTGGCACCCGTCTGCTATAAAGATCTTAATACTTTTATACAAAAGATAGAAAGTCTTTGAGATATGCAAGAAAGAAAGAAAGAAATATATGAAATGAAAAAATAAAGGTGATTGGGGTTTTTATCTTGTTTATGGTAGTGCACAGCATTTTTATATTGTCCTTAAAATGTGATTGTTAATTATTTTCCTCTATAGAGGTGCATGACTGTAGCATATAGTTGCAGATTTATGTTGGTTTGAGTTGGTTTTATTACCTGGTTTTATCCTCTCTAAGATATTTTTAATTTAAGAAAGTTTCAATAAAAGCATCATAGAGAGATTTCCTCCACAATTCTTGTAATCCATACTCATCAATGAGGAAAAGCTGCAGCTGGGGAGAAAAGAAATAAGCATCTCCAGTAATCCAATCAAGACTGTTCACAGGTACACAGTACACAAGGGAAAACTCACCAGAATGGCAAGGAATAACTAAAGAAACTCCAGTAAATAAGGGTTTATGTAATTTTAAAGTTTTCCCTTCTCTTTTGATGTTGTCAGCTATACTGACCTGGGACTTTGGCAATTGATTTTGAAGAGTGACCATGAGCTGCTTTGGCAGTATCAGATAGACTCAGCTTTGGTTTACTTTACTACCCATCTTCAGTAGTGTTACCATGATTTATGTTTAATTATGACCATGGTCTGATTAGATGAGAAATGTGAATTTTTCCATAACCATTCCTTGACCAAGACCCTCCTTCTCCGCACTCTCTCCCAGCCAGGTGTCTGGGTCAGTGTGAGCAAAGTCTCTGACAAAGGGGATGTGGTCACCATGTCTGAAGGGCAGTGAAAAAGAACTCCTCATTCAAAAGAGGCAGCTCTTATCCAGCTGCACAAGGAAATGAGGTTTATGCTTTCCCACGTTCACATATATATGCAGCTTTCCCAGGAACTTTTGAACCTGGTGGTCAATTCCAACAGAATTACACAGGGGCAAGGTGCAGATCCCAGAGATAAGCTCCAACTGCTCTTTGAAAATGAGTGGCCACAGAAAAGAGACTTGATGGTATCCTCAGAGAGGAAAGGTGGCAGTGAAAGCCCCCATCTCACTGAGCAATGGAGAATTGACACCGTGAAGGAACATAAAAACAACTCCACTAAGGAAAAAAAATGCAGTGGAGATTTATCTTCCTAGACAAACATCAGTCACCTGTTAAGACACGCACTCGTGGGAAACTTGGCCTCCTTAATTATGGTGTGGCAGGGCTTGTGTGCTACACCTGAGCTCTGCAGCTGCAGTCTGCACTGCCACACCGTAGATTTCCAAGCTGATTTAATTATAGACTTTTGCCAGGAGTCAGCCAGAATTATTCAGGGTTAGTTGGTGGCTTTTAAGGGTTCTTTTCACCAACAGTTTTGCAAGGATTGAAAATGTCTGTGCCTGCCATGACCAAAACGTTATCTCTTTTCCCTGTAACCACAGTACATGCCTGTTGCTCAAAATATGAAGTATTTTCAGTTCATAGAACTTGCACATCTAAATAATATGGCAGTTTGTCAGAAATCTGGTAGGCCTCCAATATTCTCTCTCACAAAGTACTAGCAGTTCATACTCACCTTCAGTGCCAGTATCATCCTCAAACTTTGTAAGGGGAAGTGAATTAATACCTGGGTTACAGATCAAAGTACCCAGGACTCTGTTATACTTGGAATCTGAGGCAGAGGTTTTGGTGCTTCCTACATCTTTTGGATAACAAAATCCTGTCAAACCACAAAAATTTCTTGTTCATGGTCATCATGTACCTTTTACATCAAACTTTTAAATGAAAACACTGTAAAGGCTCTTAGAATGTAACTGATAACTATTGTTCCAAAAGCAGCCTCTGAACAACTTACCTGCCCTGTGGTTCACCAGTGCTGTGCACACACTATGTGCATACCCTGAGAAGATCACAGGCAAATGAAACTTGAAAACCCAATACATTTTTAAGAAATGGTTTTTCTAGTGCACAAGCTCACACTCAGCTACTTCTTAGGACTTGAAAATAAACTTTTGAATGAAACAATAGTGATTAATCTAAAAATACACCACCCTAACCTGGTGGTTAAGAATTTGTGCGGTGCAGTGTTTTGGGGAAGGCTATCAGGGACTGCAGGGCATTTTCTCTCTGTGAATAGTCAGTATCCTTTTCTTCTCTTTCCTGATGAAGAAGTCCCTCTCCCAGCTTTGAAACGAATGATGTCCTGATCTGTTTTCAGACCAACCTTTACTCTTGCCAGTAAATCATTCCAGGTCTCAAGAGCAAAGTTCCTTCTGCTCATATGTCAAACATTATTGTTCCATCCTTTTTAATACGATGTTAGATGTGTGTATTTCAGAATGAAACCTTAAACTTTTAAATTAAACCCAGGATCTATAAAGAGATGTACTGGATACATGGGTGAAAATGAAGAATGTACCCCTGTGAAAGGGGGGCTGAAATTCACGATCACAAACACACCTGTAAATGCTTTGCTTGGGTTGTCATGGCATTGTGTCCTGGCTGCTGGCAAACTAATGCTCATCTTTTTATGAGCCCATTCAATCTGAAACTGAGTTACAGTCCCATTCTCAATTGTTCTAGTAATTGCTGATGCAGTGGTATCCTTGCTGCACTTGCTGGTTCAGTCTGCAACTTTTTATGATCCACATCTGCACGCAAATTCTAGTTCAGACAGATTCTTCTCATGCAACTCGAATGGTAGGCAGCACTCATTGTTTGCTCTCCTACTGTACTGAACGTGGACAACTGACAGGTTTGTAGGTTTTGATAGGTTCACCTTGCTTTTTGTGAGCCTAACGAATACTATGGCTGCTCTAACAGGTGTATTCTTTGCTCCAGAACTGGGAATTTTTGTTCAGTGTCTTCCAATAAGCCACTTTCCCACAACGACAGCTGATTCCCCAAGACCTTGTCTTTTAGCAGAAAACCATATTTATCTGCTGCAGCATTCCAAAATGAATCCAACTGCTCTCCAAAGTTCTTGAAGCATTTTCTCTATTACAATATTTTGGCCCAAAGCCCCCCATATATTATGCTTGGTATTCCTTGTTTCCAGTTTAACCTGTCACACGTGGGTGACGTGGCCTAGTGTGACTCCAAGCACTTGGCATCCAGAGGAAGGCAAGACCTCTGTCAGGTGATGCTGCTGGAGCAGCAAAAGCATTTGCCTCAGCTCAGGAGGGGATTCCTTAATTGCATTTTTCTTCCTTGTGCATTTTTGTATTGTTTTTTCTTGTTAACCTTTTTTATGGCCCTTTAGACAACAATTTCATTTCAAAACGTAAGTGAACGCTCGCTCACATTCTAAAACTTCCTATTGTGTGGCCCGTGTGGGACTCAGCTTCGTGGCCCTGCAGAAAGGAAGAAATGGTTGCCTACATGTTTAGGTGTGTGACATTGAGAGAACAATTTAAATACACTGCGTTTTTGGTTGCATTCCAAATGGTAGATAGTGTTTAAATATTTTTTACGGATTTTTATGTCATGGAGCCACAGACCCACAAGGCATGTCTCTCACCCTGTACGCTACCACTGTGAAGGAGATAGATGCAACTATTGTCACTGATTTTCTTGATTAGTTTTTCTTTTAAATTCATCTGCAGATGGGAACAAGGTGTTCTTGGTGAAGTGTTGTCAGCTCCGTATTTTAAAGCCAACCTTTAAACCATTTCATCAGATAATTCAGCTTTGACAGTTTTTTTTCTCTGTGTGGGGAACAACTGTATAATTTACCTTTGTTAACGAGTTTTAAGAAGTTGCACGCGTGCTAAAGCACTTTGACAGAAAAAAATACTTTTGTAAACTGGAACAGTTCCTAATTCCTTCAAGACAGCTTTGCTCTCTCCCACAAACCATCTAATCCAAAACTTGGAAAAAGGGATGTGTAAAACTTGCAACTTTCATATATAAGTCTCTGTGCAAGACGTTAAAAATCGGGGAACACGATGTACCAGGTGAGTACTTAAGTGCTCTAAGATCCACCTGACGTCTCGGGCGCTGCTTTTAAGTGTCTCTTAAGGAACGGTGGCCACCAGTGACTCGCACGACTAAAAGAGTGCGTTTAAGAGCACT